ATAATTGTATTGGCAGTGTGGACTCCTTCTGCACACATACAAACCAACCCCTGGCACCACACTCTGCCACAGCTCCAACAGTCTAATGGTCTATGTCATGGGCTTTCATGTGGGAGATCAAGGTTCAAAACCCAGCTAACGCAACTTTAACAAAAAGTCTATTCCAACTTCATATTGTAACTCAATTTCTTTAATGGAAAAACACCTGCTGACMTGACAGGCTAAAGCTGGTTTAGAAAACTTCTTTGAACTTAGTCAAAGCTCATTCTGCAAGACCAATGCTCCTGCATACTTTGTCCTACAGCTGCCATTGTAATTTTTATCTGTAAAGGTCCTGTGCCAAATGATTTTTATGCCTTTTGGTACCTGTACAACTTGCAGTTTTTGAAATATTGACCTGCTGACGTGACAGGCACAAGCTGATATAGAAAAACACATTTGAACTTGGTCAAAGTTCCTTCTGCAAGTCCAATGCTGCAGGCAAAGCCATGCTGCAATGACATGCTACGTGGCAATGCACACTTGTTTTTACATRGTAAAAACCCATGTCTAGTTTATTTATTTATTTATAGTTGAACATCATATTGGTTTAAATCCTGAAAAACTGAGCTTTTTGTCTTCTCTGCAAGCTTTTAAAAATGTCAAAGTGCAAAGCATGAGCGTGAAGTTTACACTACATCTGTCAGCACTGTACTACTTTAAATTGTAAGCCAGTTTCACATCCCCATGAATAGAATACAAATTTAACATAAATTCATGATTAAATCTAAGTAATAAATCAGCTTTAAATTGAGCAAAAATAAAATTCCAAATATTTGCCACTTTTATGAGGCTGTAGGAGGTCAAACTTRAAACATGCCGTACTTCTGAATCAATCTTCTGTTCTGCAAATTTTCAGGAAATGATATAACCTGCTTATTTCTCTTAAAGAGGATGACTGTTGCTTTTTTTTTTTGTTCTCTTAATCAACATGTTGCTACTAAAATAGCTGTTTTGTCACCACCAGTTCTTCTAAACACGGCCGAGCAAACGGACYAACTGAAACTGTTTGTTAACCACAGCAGCAGTGCCAGGAAGATGTGACAAAGATAAGCAGCAACACCTCTGACCTCTAAACTCTGGTCAGCTTCACAAGTTCCTGTCATCCAAATTGTGCCATAAAAAGACTTTAATATGCTGATTATAAACGCCATTCTGTTTCCATTACAGCATTTCTTTCAAGGGCAAGTATAAAATAAAGGCTAAACATTTTAAAGTATTGTCTCAACTACTACCACACCAAACTTTATCTCCATAACTGTGAGTGAAAAGTTAAATGTAAATTAAAAATATCAAAAGGCCAGCTAAGTCTATAGGAARAAGCAGAAGCTAAAAGTAGCAAAATGCTGTCACAATGCAGAAAAAATGTTAGATAAAAGCAGCAAAAGGCTAGCTCAAAAGTTGCAYTAGCCCAACCGGCCCAAAAAAGCCTAAGAGTAGAAAAAGGCTTTATAAAAGTCTTAAAGCAAAATGTAGCAAATGGCTAGACAGAAGCTAAAACTAGCTAAAGCTGGCTGGCTAAAAGCTAATGTAAAAGCTAAAATGAGCAAGCTACCAGCTAAATAAAGGCTTGAATATAAACATTTCTGACAATAAATGTGTCAAAGCTGTGAGATTAAACATGGTCAGTGGTGTAGTACCTAAGTAAATTTACTTTACTACAGTACTTTAGGATTTTTTGAGGATTTTGTAGTTGCTTTTTTTTGTAAAAAGTATATATTTTGTATTTGATCTTTTACTTTAATTTTGTTACATTCAAAACATAACTTTTCATTTTTTTACTTTAAAATGTAGCACCTACAGTAGTTTTTACTGAACTCATGAAAAGAGTTGTTTATGCGTAAAAGTACTTTTACTTTCTCAATTATTGTATACAGTTTTATGACTTTTACTTAAGTACTATTCTTATCAGTAAAATAAATTTTTATCAAAGTAATTTTCCATTAAGTTATTTTTACTTTTACAAAGTTATTTGTTATTTGCACCCCATACAGAGAAAAGATCAAATCTCATATTTATATTTGGGATTTATTCATTTTACTGCAGCTGGCTTATCTGATTCCTAAATAAAAATATGGTACACAATTAAAACTGTTGTACATAACTGATTGTATTTTATGGAATATTATTGTTTTGAATAAAAAAAACTGCAAAAACAATCAGACAACACACAAAGTGGTTTATGATAAAAACAAAAACTGAATCTTGTTTATTTTGTACAACATTCTTCGGCATTTAAAAAAGCCAAGTTTTAAGTGCAGAGCAACCTTTAAGAGATATACTATATCTACTATGGAGCAACAATAAACTTCACTAGAACCTGAAGAAAAGCTCTTCAGAACAGTCTGAGAGAGAAGAAAAACATCAGCTTTAAAGTCAAAGGGTTAGTTTTTTATACTTTTCATCAACTTTCTCAAAAGATGTATTTCCTACAAAATCCTCTTTCCGAATAAAATTCAAAACTATCCCTTTAAAACTCTAAATATAAATGCATTGTTTTCTTACATCATCACAAGCCAAGAACTGAAGGATCTACAGCTGTATAAAAAAAAAGCTTCTGTTCTGAATACACTTTAGGTGAAGTTGAAATCTTTTAGAAAAGAAAACAAAACGACAAATTATTAAAGCAAATAATGAATCATTCAAAAAAATGTTTTCAAGGCAAAACCTGAGAGGTAAAACTAGCAGACTTCAAACTGAAAATAATAAAACACTGGAGGAAATTATATATATATATATATATATATATATATATATATATATATAGCTCAAGCAGCTCTGATTTTAACCTTAAGTACTGTGCAAAAGACTTGAGGTACTCATTATTTTTCCACYTTTTGTTTTAAAGTCGTGAACTTGGGCTTGTGTAATCAAAGTGGCTTTTTTTCAATTCTTCTTTGAATAATAACTAATCTTGATTTTTAGTCAGAACATTGTATTTTCCCCTACTTTGTAAAGAAATGAGTTTCAGATACTTATCAGATTATTTTTAAGGCCCACCGTCAACATTTTGAGAATTTCTCTTGTTGAGTTTTTGGACAGACACACTTCACCGCTCAATGGCTTTCCAGGGAATCACCTTGGTGAAGCAAATTCAATTTATTTAGCAATAATTAACAGCTAAAGRCATCTTAAGGCACTGCAGTATATTTAAAGAAAATGGGCCCAATTCATATTAAATTAAATGCAATCCTTTTAAATTTCATAACTTTATCCAGTTAAAATATTTTTTTAAAAAGGGGACAAAACCAAACAATGTCCAAATAATTCTGTGAATGATTTCTTTAGGTGGTCCAAATTATTTTGAAATAACAAATAAAAACCACAACTCAACACTTTTGCTCAGCACAGTTGAAAAGCGTCCCATTAAAGCCGAAGACAGAGGCTGTTTACAGGCACAGCTAGATTCTGACGACTCTGAAGAACAACATGTTTTACTGAGACGTTTACACGACTTAGGTTTCATTGTTACAACATATAGTCCGATTAATGACTCATGCACAAGCCCATTCAGAGTATTTCTTACATCCGTAGGTCTCGGAGCTTAATCTGGGTTTCTCTATTTGGTCTTTTTATCTGCAGCCAAACCGTTTTCCAGGGTCAATGCCGAATTTTAGAGCATGCAACAGTTTTGGTTACTCTAGAACTAAGTAGTGCAATTAATCTCTACAAAATATCAACATGCTTCGTGTGATTTGATGTGATTATTGCTTATCTGAGAAATGCTCTTTGTTATGTTCAGTTCAGCAGATATTTATACGATAGTGTCTTTTTCACAAAAGGGGTGCCAATCAGACCAATCTGGTTGCGCTAGCATTTCCACAGAACATATAAAAAGTATAAAAAAATACAGGAAACAAACTAGATAATACTTTGAAAAAAAAGAAGTGGTTGTTTTTGTTTGTAAAGCTTAAAATCAGTTAGCAGCTCTTTCTTTAGGAAAATGGTTTTAAAACTAAGAAATGAAACACAGAGATGTCAAAAGAAAACACCGACACAGTGATCTCCTGTCTCCTGTCAAACATTAAAGCAGTTTTTTTCTCATTTTGCCCCCAAGAGGGAGACTCTGACCTGCTGTAAAGCGGAGTCTTTAGTGTCAAAACCATCCTCGGCTCGTCAGAGTTTGACGGTGTGGTGCTCCTCTCCATGCCGTCCCGTGCCCCCCCATGGGGTGGTGGTTGGGGGCTGATCCCTCCTCCTTCCTTTTTACCCYTCTTCACCTCTCTGACGCTTGGTCTCAGATGATCTCCAGGACGTCGCAGGGAACGTAGCCTCTCTTCTTRCCATTTTCCACTCGGATGAAGCCGCCACGCTCGCCCTCACCGCTCACACAGATCTACGTCAGAGGAGAAAGGTGGTGCGGTTTGGTTTGCATTGGTTTCATTTATTTAGGAATTTACAACAACGATGAACTTTTCTTTAATTGTAACTTCTTGGCTTTCTTTARAGACTCTTACGTATGAAATGTTGGCTCTGAGTTTGTGTTACGAGGATCTGAGCGAATGGAAAGGAAAGCCAGAAGGTCAAAGACTCAGCTTGTCTTTCACCCCCCACCGGGGCCTACTTTACTCCCAACATGGCCTCTAAGGCATTGTGGGAAAGCAGACGATCRATTTGCCGTTGTGCCGGCAGGCTAATTTCACTGTTACTCCTGAGAGGGATCTTCTTTCTGTCGAGAGCTTTTCACTGAACAAGTGTCTGAAGGAGCAGCAGAGGGATTATAGGACCAGCTGCTGAATAATGTGAAGCTCTGATGGCTGAGCCGTGAGCAGGAATCAGACTCAGGTGTAAAGTGGAAACGAACATGAAAGGGTCACTGCCTCCCCCCAAACTACGATGGTCTTATACAGATCAGGTCTCTTGCTGTCTGTTCTGACCACTTATCCTTAAAAGGATCCATTAATCCTTCAAGTGTTTTGTTTTCTGGCTCCGAGGACGGATCAAACAAGTATTTAGTTACTTTTGTCCCTCAGATTTTTCTTTACATGTTTGTCTGCTTCAGCTTGCCTTTCTAACTCAGCTGTCAGGGAGTGAGAGACAAGTTTTGGGTACCGTTAAGCTACAGCTTAAATGAACGGCTCATAAACAATAAACATGATTCTTCTCTAAATTTTTTAAACAGCTAAGAATCTTCTGTAGCAAAATGTTGAAGATGTTCAAATGTGTTCTACGGCAAAATATAGTAAATATAAGAATATATGTGATACATGTCACATCTTTTTTTTCATTTGATCTTTATTCATACAGGTAGTCTCATTGAGATCCAGAATCTCATTTCCAAGAGAGACCTGTTCACACAGCTGATTTCAATTGATAACTGATTAACAGGCTTTTGTTGAACTGCAACCAGGTGTGTCAACGCAGGGAAACTTCTAAATCATGCAGGGCAGTGTGCCTTGAGGGCCAGTCTTAGATCACATGGGTCAAACTCAAGGCCCGCGGTCCAAATGTGGCTCACCACAGCCTTTTATATGGCCCGCAAGAGCTTCAAACATGTACAATGTCTTAAAATGCTGCTTTAAAGACAGTACTAATCATAACCTCTATCTCCCATAATGCACGCTGATTATTTATTAAATTTGCCATGTAAAGTCTKCATTTAGCTGCATTTTCACTACTTTTGCTGTAGCCCAGTTTTATCGGGGAATGGGAATTTCCCACTTACAAGGCTGTGTCCAAAACGGTCGACCGGGTCCTCCGAAGGGTCCAGTCTACCCGATCGAGGTGGGCCAGGTCCTTGGTAGACCGGAAAAAATTGTCTGCGAATTTGGACGGTCTAGCTTCCCGTCCTTACCCCGGCGTATGTCATGTCACCAACCGTCTGTTTAGCAACCGTGACGATGCTAAACAGGCAAAATTGAATCAAAATTAGAAAAATATCAATATATTAGCGTTATTAATATCACAAAACAATAAAATTAACTTAAAGGTAATAATTGAAGAACTAATCGTAGGTGCATGTTTATTTCGCGTTTTTTTCTGACAAAAATGGAACCTAAAAACACGTCTCTACAAATGACTAAAGTATTAATAACACAACCGCTAAAAATTTTTATTTTTATACCACCATATTTTTATTTAAAATGTATTCTTTTCTCTCGCTTCATCCGCCATTACTAGCATAAAAAAATTTCCGGTCGGGCCGCAATGCATTATGGGACATGGTGGGCCGGGAAGGATCCGTCGGACCAGTCCTTCACTTCGGGCCAAAGGAAGGACACATCTGTCGGCTGCATCGGAGGAGTCTTCGGTTTTGGACGGCCTTCGTCGCGGCGCTGTGACGTATGCGGTCGACAAATTCGGCCTTCGGAGGACCCGGCCCACCGTTTTGGACACAGCCATAAATTTGAAATGCAACCTCCAGTGGGAATTCCCTGTTGGGAGAGATGGAGGAACACTGACTTCCCCAGTTTAGGATTCAAAATTGCAGCAACCCACCACAGCTCATCAATGAATAAAACTCTCATTTTTACTTTTAATAATATTTCTGTATTATTTACTTCACATTTAGTCAGTCATACACATAGTCAAGGTTGGATTAACCATATGGGCAACTGGGCAATTGCCCAGGGGCCCARGGTCTCCAAAGGGCACAGGCATAARGGACGCGGGACATGCATGGGACATGTCTCCCCACACTTCCTGCATCTGCYCTCTCTGTCCCCRGCACTTTTTTCAGCCGTTACAGCTGTTTAATTTGTTATTATGTGGTAACGTGTTTTCCCGYGCCYTCTTTGAATGCACCATAAGTYTGCACATGCTAACGCCTGCAGARAACGAATGGGAGACGTCCTGTTGAGCGGTGTAAGAGCAATCAAAACTTTGCCCAGTTTTTACCAAACAAACCATGTAAGTCGAGTCATGCTGTTGGAGGCAGGTAACATTAGCCAAATGATGAGAAGTTACACATTATATAATGTTTAGCTAGTTAACAAGATTAGTTGTTGTTACCCGTTACATCCCTTGCTAGTTCACTAATGCTAGACAAACCCAACCGTTTTCTATTTCTGTGCAGAAGTTGTGCTGGCTTGCTTTCCACATATTTAAAATAAATCTTCATTGCCACAGAACAAGGTCAGGGAGGAGACAGACCAGATCCAGCAGTGATCATAATGCAGACTTTTCCCA